ATATATATATATTTGTATATACATATATTAGACATGGATCGTACTCACCAACCATGGTTCCCGCATCGGAGCTCTGTCCGAAGAAGCTTCTAGACCAGACCATCAGTAAGATGGTCCAGAATAGGAGACTAATATGCAGGAAATTCTAACCTCGGTCAGGTGGAGAATTTAGATGATCTGCAGACACACATGAACAGCAAAATGAGGGCTTTCATGAAAACATACCTTGCTCATGGGTGCAATATCCATCTTTCCCTTTAATGACACACAAGGTTGGAGGAATGGCTTCAAAAAACCCATGAATCACACATTCCCTGTTGTGGAGTGGCTGTTTTTTGTGACACAGTTCATCACAGTCTCCACAGAACCACTCCTCAGGAAGACACTCTCTGCACCTAGGGAGAAAATAAAATAAAATTTCTAACATATTATTTCAGGTGAATAATATAAAGTACAACACACTCAATTTAAACTATTCCAAATTTAGTTAGACACTAGGTTTGATTTTATTGTATAGGACTGCATAGTGGCTCAGTGTTCAGCGGTTTCCTTACAGCATGAAAGTCCTAGATTTACTTCTCATTAATGTGGATTCATCTGGGTATCCAAGTTTTCTCCCACCCCCAAAAAAACACATGCATCCTAGCCTATAAAGCAGGGCACTGAGCATTAATTCTCAGCAAGCCTACCCTGGGTAATTAAAGTTTAACATTAATGAAAACCAACCTATTAACAGCAGGCTCGTGGCAAAGCCGACACAAGGGATGACCAACAGCCTCTTTTGCAATAAGGCATTTTAGGTGGTATGGTCTTGCTTCTTTCCAGCGATCTGAGGCTTTCTGCTGCCGAAAAGACCATGATGATGCAGTGCTTCTTTAAAGCTCAGCAGAAGGATATGACGCCAAAATATCAGAAAGCCTCTCCAAATTTTTTTCTGTAAAGAAAATACGAAATAAAGCTGTAAAACAATTTAGATGAGGACCAATTAAAAAAGTCAACTGATCAATATTTAGAATAAACACGCCATGATTCAGTATCAAACTAGCCTAAATCTTTACTAAATTGTGTTCTTAATACATCTACTGGACTGGCAGTTTTGTCTAAGGGTTTTTTTTATTACTTTAATTACACATAGATTTAGATTTAAACTTAAATTCATCACTTTGATTTACCAAATTGCTCTTGAGGATTTAGTTCTGCTGAGGGTACAGTAAGTGGAACCTCCGCACTGGATGACGGAGCATTCAACCGGTGTGTGTGACTGTAAAACAGTACATAGAAGAATAAGAACATGTTAGGCTATCACTGTCACGGTCACTTGGGGAGGAATGAACGAAGGAGCGAGGAGACGTGGAGTGATACAATTCAAAAGGGTTTAATGAGGGTAACGCTTGGATCACAGGAAACACTGGAGACATCAAGCAGACAGAATGACATTTAACAGCAGACGGGAAACACTGGGAAACACAGGGTTTAAATGCACAGACACCAATGGGACACACCAGCAAATTAACAAATTAAACAGGAACAGGAAAGACCAAATAAGGAAAACAGGAACATACACATGACAGATCGCCCCCCTCCCGGACGGCGCGGGAGAGTACCATCGGGGAGGGGGGCGGGCGCCCTGGAACAGGCCGGAGACAAGGAGAGCCTCCAGGGCGAATCAGGAAGCCATGGCGGAGCAGAGGACTCAGGGAGCCATGACGGAGCAGACAGTTCAGGGAGCCATGGCGGAGCAGGGAGCTCAGGGGGCTATACTCGGGAACTGGAGCCCTCCCTGGGCTAAATGAGGAATCAGGAGCCCTCCCTGGGCTTAACTGGAGATCAGGAGCCCTCTCTGGGCTAAACGAGGAATCAGGAGCCCTCCCTGGGCTTAACTGGGGATCAGGAGCCCTTCCTGGGCTAAACGAGGAATCTGGGAAGCGCTTATGAGGTGCTGGCACTGGAGGGCGCTCAGGAGAAGCAGGCACAGCAAGGCGCTTTCGAGGAGCTGGCATTGGAGGATGGAGCGAGCTCTGGGCGGAAGTGAGCCACAACCGACGGGCTTGACTTTCCGACTGGCTTTGACTTTCCGCGGGGCGATGGTAAGTAATCCCGATCCAGAACAGCATCACGAGGGTTTCCCGCTCGAGGGAGCTGGTGAGGGCGAGCGGCACGAACGCCCTCGCATAGCTGACAGTGTCAGGGCTCGCCTGAGCCACGGCGATGAACATCGCTCGTTCCTCCATAATCTCGGAGGAAAAACAAATGGAAAACAAAAACACTTTGAAAACCTGGAAAATAAACGCGGGGAGAAGAGGCGCCGCTCACTTTTCTGTATGGGTCTGCTGTTCTGTCACGGTCACTCAGGGAAGAATGAACGAAGGAGAGAGGAAACGAGGAGTAATGCAATTCAAAAGGGTTTAATGAGGGTAACGCTCGGATCACAGGAAACACTGGAGACATCAAGTAGACAGAATGACATTTAACAGCAGACGGGAAACACTGGGAAACAGGGTTTAAATGCACAGACACCAATGGGAGCAAATGAACTAATTAAACACAGCTGGAAACGCATTCACACAACGAGGACAGGAACAGGAAAGACCAAATAAGGAAAACAGGAACATACACGTGACAATCACTGCATGTTTTTTTTTTACCCAAAACTGAACAATTTATGAAATCAGATATATTTATGTTAAGTACTTAATGTCTTCTACTATAGTGCCACTGAAAGATTTATGTACTTTTTTAATGTCTTTTTAGATACTGGAATATTTTAAACTATCAACAATCACTTACTTGGTTCTAATTTGATTTGGTCCAATATTTACATAGTAAATTCCTACAAATGTAAAATAATTCAGATATAACCTGAATTAGCTGAAGCTTGGTGTCGCCCTCCTTGCCTCCCCCTCGGCTTGCCATGTCCTAAAAAGTCCCTTTTAGAGGTCTGTGGAGGGTCTCCTACAGAGCGTGCACGTTACCTCTCCACAGCTGCTGTCTGTGTGTTGGAGTGAATATTTCTTGTAAGGCTGATGTTGTTAAAGGTACTGGATCCAAAAGACAGGGGATTAGTGAAAGGAAAACACAACAAGGTGTTGAATGGCTTAAATGAGCCTTGCCATTGATTATCCAAGTCTCTGCAACTCAGAGACATCATCCTCCCGGAGCTGCTTCCGTGTACAACTGTTGGCGCAAGCTAGATTAAAGGGGTGGTTCACTGGGTTTTTTCTAGGCTTGATTGTGTTTATGGGGTGCAGTCTAACATGTGTTAATGCTTCGTTTTTAAAAAAACGCATTATTTTTCACATAATTTAACTTTATTCCACACCGCTCTGTCCCTTCTCTGAGAAACGGGCTGATCATTTCCTTCTTTTATGAAGCCCCTCCCTCAGAAATAGGCGATGGGCTCTGATTGGTTAGCTAGCCCAGTGTGTTGTGATTGGCTAAACCGCCTCTAGCGTGCGTCTACATGTTGTATTGTAAACAACTGCATCTTTAATATCGCTTATCAGTTTGAGCCCGATTGAGAAGGAGAGGATTTTATTGAAGAGGATCGTGCAGAACCTGTGCAAGCATGGCTTTTAATGCATGCACTTTATTTCACTTCTTTTGGACTGATGAACAACACCCACTGACTGCCATTAAACAGCTTGGAAGATCAAAGTCAGTTTTTAATATAACTCCGATTGGATTCATCTGAAAGAAGGAAGTCAACTATAGGGGTGCGCCGATCAGATATTTAGGATTGGTATCGCTCCGATACTGCCACTTTCTGCTACGTGAGGAACAGTATTAAAAACTGCTGCTTTAGAACATTGACTTTGAAATTTGTGAATCCATTAGAATCGTTAGAAGACAGAATCGCGATTCATATATGAATAGATTTTTACGTGCACCTCTAGTTTTCTCTTCCTCTTCTCTAAAGCAGCGCTGCATGGCCTCGCCCCCTTTGCTGCCTTTTCCCGAGGGCGGGGTTTATCAGGGTTTGTGATGTCAC